AAAATAAAGCTTTTTTTAAAATCTTAGTTTTTAGATGGCCTTTACAGAAAAAAATACAAAGAAAATATTCAGTGTTTTTGATTAAGATTTTTATATTTGAAATTTTAAATCGTATTTTTTAAAGTGAGTGTATCTTTCAATTTTTTTTGAAAATTTTTTGTTTCAAACTACTATTCTTTTAACAACTTTTAAGACCCGTCCGGTCGTGGGCCCTCCACAATCACTATTTTTTTTTTAATTTTTGAAAATTTGAATTTTTATTTTCTCTATAAATCATTATAAGTACCGATTTTTGACACTGTATACTCTTTTTTAACTTATTTTAAATTAATTTTAATATTTTTTAATTGTTAATAGGTGTTTAAAATAAATCAATAAGTAAACGTTAAGTCTATTTATAAACAATTATAACAAACGTTTTTATTTATTTTCGTATTCTTTTAAAAATTTTACATAAACGATTATTTTGTGAACTAGAATACTCTTTAGCTAATATATTTCAGTAGCTCCTTGGAATGATTGAATCCCCAAATAGTCGTGAAGGTTTTTGTCGAAAGCGTCCGAACAAGAGTTTAAAAACAAAGATTTGCATGTACCAAGTCAACGTATTATTTTAAATATATATGAATGTTTGAAAAGAGAAAATAGTGAACAATGTGATAAAGAAATTAGGAGACGGATTAGCAAATTAACTAAAATATTAAAAACGACAATTTATCGCTTAATTAAAGGTCACGGTACAAAGAAGAAACGGAAAAATACAAAATTAAAGAATATTGACGATTTTACCAGATATGTAATACGGCGCACAATTTATAATATGTATAAAGAAAATAAATTTCCTACTTTGGATATCATTCGAGATATATTAAGCGATCATCCTGATTATAATTATAAATCTTTAGACACATTACATGTTTTATTATAATGCGGTTTTAAACATAAAAAACTTGACAATCGTATGGCAATTATGGAATAATAATAATAATAATAATTTATTCGTAGAAAATACAGATAAAAAGTAAATCAATATTAAAAGCTATACGAATAAACAATACTTGATAAGTTTACACTTGTTTCAAGAACATAAAGTAAAATATGAACATATATCACAAAATGCCTATCACAGAAAAACATCAAACATGTATATAATAAAACAAAAACAGGAAAAAAATAAATACATAATTATACAGAGAGAAGAAAAGTATGTATGTATATATTTACGGAATCAGTCAATTCGGATTAATTGTATTAATAAAAATATTTACTTATTGTTTCCCGAGGAGTTTCTAATATGTACATTTTAACTTTCCTCTTGAATGCATACATTGATAGATTGCCTACTTTCAAAGAATCAGGTACAGTGTTATATAGTTTAGGTGCTAAATATAGTAGTGATCTTTGGCCCAAATTTTTTTGCATAAAGGGAGATAAGAACTTTTGTTTTCTTCTAGTTTCATAATTATGAGACATTTCATGCTTATTATTAGTATAATGATACCTACAAACACAGTTGTAGTAATAAAGTTGTCTTACATCGAAGACTTTAGCTTCAAGGTACAACTCATTACTAGGGTAAATTAATTCTTTTTGTAACATCATCTTTAAAAATCTTTTTTGTATAATTGTGAGAGGTTCAATGTGACTACTAACCGCTGAACCCCAAGATAGTACAGCGTAATTTATATGACTCTGTATTAAAGCATGATAGACCATTTTTAGATATTGTCTAGACAACAACCTACAGAGGTACTTAAAGGTATATAAAATGGACTGAAGCTTCTTTATAACATAATTTATATGTATATCCCATCTCAAATGACAATCTATAAAAACACCTAAATATTTTGTTTTTATTGCAGGTAAGATTCTAATTGTATGACCCTGGCTTTCTAATTTCAGATAATTAAAAGATGGGGAAACTGACTTATTGCATGTAAAAGGCAAGTAGCTCGTCTTTTCCAGGTTAATTGTCAATAGTTTGTAACTGAACCAATCTTTTACATAAGACAATTCACTTTCCACAGTTTCTTTCAGTTCATCCCAAGTGTTACCTTTATGGAAAATAGCTGTATCGTCTGCAAAGCCTATAACCTCTCCACTGGTAAGTAGGCCAAATAAATCATTAATATATATTAAAAATAACAGGGGCCCTAAAACCGTGCCTTGCGGAACACCATATTCGACAGGTAACCATCCACTGCACTCACCTCCAACCCTTACACACTGTTTTCTATTTGACAAATAACTCTCTAAGAGTTTATGACATTGACCTCTAATTCCTATATTTTCAAGCGATTCTAGAAGCATAGGATGACTAACAGTGTCAAAGGCTTTGGTAAGGTCAATGAAAGTGCACAAGCAAGGCTGGCCTTTATCTAGAGCAGAGGAGACATTATTTGTGAGGAATTACGATGTATAGTTGCACTTCGGGAAGATTATCTACAAAACATTCCAGAATATCGTCAATATAAATAGGAAGACAGCTCGGAATATAGTATAATATATCTAAACGAGACAGGGCAACATTTCTCTGGACGCCTATGGATTCCGTAGAGTTTATGAGTTAAATGTTTTTATGCGGTTTCAACTGATATCAACACGACTATAACTGTCGGTAGTCAGCAGCGCCATCACGTGAGAAAGTCATTCATTAAGATGTGCCACTCTTTAAATTATATAGAAACTCATAAAGATACTATTATTTAAATTAAAAAAATACTTTGCAACAAAAAATTCATAAAATAATTTTTAAACAATTTTTAAAAGAACAACAAAATAAATAAAAACGTTTGTTATAATTGTTTATAAATAGACTTAATGTTTACTTATTGACGTTAAACACTTATTAACAATTAAAAAGTATTAAAATTAATTTACAATAAGTAACAAAAGGGTATACAGTGACAAAAATCGTACTTATGATTTATAGAGAAAAAAAATATCAAATTTTCAAAAATAAAAAAAATAGTAATTATGGAGGGCCACGATCGGACCGGTCTTAAAAGTTGTTTAAAAAAAATTCAAGAAAATCGAAAGATACATTTTCAAAAATACGATTTAAAATTTCAAACTCAAAAATTTTAATAAAAAATACTGAATATTTTTGTATTTTTTCTGTAACGGCCATCTAAAAACAAAGATTAAAAGAAAGCTTTAATTTGAACCATTATTAAGAAAGTTATGAACAAAAAACAAAAAAATTGTAATTTTTTGAAAATTTTATATCTTTCGAACAAGTAATCAAAAAATCTCAAAATTTACTAGTAAGGCTCTTTTGAGGGGAACTAAAAAATATGAAAAAATTGAGGAAATCAAAAATCAAAATTTTTCTAACCATCCGATTTGGCATGGAACGCCTCATATACAGTATGTTTGATTATAAATGCCACGAGCTATAACTCGGTTACACATTTTTGGACACCCTGTAAATTATATAGGTATATTTTTAAATGGGATGTTATTTTCTTTATAATGACCCAACAATTTTTTTTCCTAACAATGTAGATGAATGGTGACATCATGGATGTTTTTTTTTAAATATACATTTTTTTATTCTCTTTCCAACCATATAAAATTTGTAGCTTTTGCATAACGAAATTTATGAGAAAAAATGAGAAAACTTTCAGCCTTTCACTTTAGTTTAAGGTGCTCTTTTCTAAATCATATCAAATAGAAGGCGTAGGAAAAACAATTTTGCATACTGCTATCTGTCACATATGGGTTTGTTTGTAATTATTGTCACCCTTCAAGTCAACAAAATGAATGATTTTAATGAAGTTGATATGCTGCTGGTTTATTATGAATGTAGAAAAAACAGTGTTGCAGCTTTACAATTATGTCGACAACGTTATCCTAATAGAATTTCCCCTAACAGAAGAAAATTTAGTAAATTTAAAGCAAATCTAAGACAGTATGGAACGCTAAAGAAGAAAAGAATTTCTTTAGGATATGCTTGTAATGAAAATCAATAATTACATTTATTATTAAGTGTACAAGAAAATCCGAATACTTTCATACGGGAATTAGCTAGGAATCATAATTTAACCGAGTACATTGTATATAAAATTCTATATAAACTTAAATTGTTTTCTTATAAGGTGAATTTGGTTCAACATCTTCATGAAAATGATTTTGAACAAAGAAAACAGTTTTGTGGCTGGTATTTAAATAATGCAAATAATAATCCCAACTTTCCAAAAATGATTTTATGGATAAAAGTAATTTTTCTCACAGGGTGGAAACATGTTCCTTTACAAACCTGTTTAGCTTTCCAAAATGTGTGCCTGTTTACTGTAACTAACGATAGTAGTATAGTTCAGCTTAATATACATATTAAATACATACAGTGCTTTAAAAAATAGTAGCACATAATTGTAAAAACTTGAAACGATTTAAAAAAAATGCTTCATATAAATCAGAACAGTATTTTTATTTCTTTTTTATGTTCGTTTTTTAAAGCAAAAAAAAATATTTTAAAACATAAATCAATTTTATTTAGAATTAGTAACGTATCTACATATCAATATTGGTTAATTCGTCCACTTGACATGTGATGACTAAAATAACACGTCGTTGTCATAGGTAGATTTAAAAACAATATGGCAACGCTGATAGTGCTTAATATGCTATTCCGGGTGCCTCGGTTTACGCCGGCGAGACCCAGTAGCGGCGTAAACAAGAATTAAAGTGAAGATTAAAAAACTAATTTTATCTTGACTATTTATTGATTAAAAAAAAAGAATTTCAGATACGTATTTAGGGAAACATGTTCTGTACCCCTAAAAAACTGAGTCCCCTTTAAAGTTATATGTCGTGTACCTCGATCAGTAACATTTTTAATAAATATAAGTACATTTTCGGAAATTTTAGAAATTTTAAATAATTTTCTATAATTTTTCAGGGTTGGAATTTGTTTGTATGAATTATAATAACAAAGCATGGTTTCTGAAGGAATATATTTTTTTCTATAAAATGTTTAAAATTAATATTAAATATACTTACTTATATAAAGCCTTTTCGTAGGTAATCAGAATTAAAAATTTTGATAAAATGCCCACTGGAAGCCAATCAATAGTGGAATTTTCATCTCCATAACATGTTTTTAATACACCTAGAAATGTAATATTAAACAAGCGTTTTACTATTTTTGCTATGCTTTATTAAAACATTTTTGTTTTTAATTAAAAACGATGTAATTTCTCAAAGTATTTTAATCACCACAGATTGAAACAATTTTTATAAAAAAAAATCCGCCGTTTTTTCATTCAGTTAAATAATATTTTCGAGTACGTCCACTGTTTAAAAACATACAAATATCTTTTGAAAAAATTTTTTTCTTTATATGTTAATATACATAAATACGGGAGAACGGTATTGGTTAATGAAATCCAACCAAATGAAATAATTTTGTTTTATCAAAGCTTGACATTAATCATAGTAATGTTAAATATAATTTTCTATTCACCTTTTCCTCCACCACAGAGCAGACCAACTGGGCCGTTGAAGTTTTCACACCAGCCAGAAATTGGTTCGTCTAAAGACGGAACAACTGCAATTTAATTTAATTTTAATTTTTTAATTTTATTTTTTTCATTTTATTTTTTAAAATTTATTATTTTATTTATTTTTTTATTATTTTAATATTTTTTATTTTTACTTTATTTTTTTAAATTTAATTTTTTTTTAAATTTTTTTGATTAGTGGTAAAAAATTCAAGCAACATAACTTTTGTAATGTTTTTTTAATAATGCTGTTTTTTTTAATGGAACTTCCTGTATTTTTTGCGTAACCTGATGAACAATATTGTTCTTTTTCGAATGGTATAATATTATACCTATCTTTTCTGGTTTTTAAGGTATTTACTGTCGTGAAGTCAATGGATATCACATAATTTCTTGCGAGAATGACTGTGAAATTTTTAGTGGAACTTCAAAACAAGCAGCTAATCTGTCACCAGTTTATTGTTGTCAATTTAACACGTACAGTGATTGTTTATTTGAGTATTATTCAAATGCTGACATTCTAAATTTGTTATTTATTCATGGAGAGTGTCACAAGATAATAAATAGGACTAGGCATGCCCGAAAACACTATTGCCCAAATTTTCAATATTAAAATCTAAGCAGTCTCTGAAATATGTCTAATGCCTCGTCACCGTGGGACACCCTGTAGATGAAAAAACTGTACCTAGGTACAGGAAAGTTAACTTTCCCGGCCTAGACTGGAAAAATGTTGAATTTGAGCTTTTATTTTCTGGATTTACTTACCAATTGAAGGTCTTACAATTGTTGTAAGTAGTTTGCCTTTGCACAAATCGTTAACGACATGGTCAGATAAAGATTTTGCAAATGTGTAAGTATTTGGTAGTGGATAAATATACTTCGGTGACAGAATACTTAAAGTGTGTTGATCAACTTGTTCCGCCAGTGTTATAGTACTTTTCCAATCAGCATGTGCTAGATACATTTTTTCCTCTACTTCGAATCTATCGCAATTACAATATGAAGTAGATATATGCACAAACGTTAATAACTTCTTTGCTTGCAATGCTATGTCTACTACTTCTTTAGTACCTCTTGTATTCAGTAGTACTGCATCTTTCAGGTGATCATCGAATCTTATTGACGCTGCTCCATGATAGATGATGTCCACGTTTTGAATAAGAGTTTGAGTGTCTTCTTCGGTTAAGTCTAAAAAATCCTGTACACTTTTAAATAGGTAGAGAGTATTAAGAATAAAGAATTTCATACAGAATTTTCTGAAAATTTGGGCAAATCTTAGTTCAGGTTAAAATTGTGCTGACTAGTATCACATGAGACGGAACAAAATACACACAGATTAAATAATATTGATAGGTGAGTAGTGCACATTACTAACATGTATAACTCATTCGAAAGAGAACAAAATTGGTCATCAGGTTGTACAAAAAATATACAAGGTGTTCCATTAAAGAAAATAAGTTTAAAGTTGACTAAATTCGGCATTAAATTTCTACCACCCTGTATGAAATTAAGTCATTTTGAAGTTATGGCAGGGAAGCTTAGAGTTTTAGTTATGTCCCCTATAAATTTTATCGCTTTAACTTTTTTGTTGTAAAATTCACATCTTTTTGAATTAGGTAGTGCTTCTGTAATTTTTTTTTGAAAAAAATATTAAATATATCAAAAACGGTTAACTTTGAGAATAGATAGATAGATAGATAGATAGATAGATAGATAGATAGATAGATAGATAGATATATTTATTAGTCCAACTAGAGCATTACAGCTTTGCTATGGGATAAGTCAACTCTACATAATACAATATAATTGCATGTTAAAAAAAGGCATATAGCCCGATCCACATTAATTACAGTACAAACAATAAATAAATAAAATAATAAATACAATATAAACATATGATAATATACAACCTACAACAGATTAAAATTAAAATAAGCTAACAGCTATTGTCAAAAAATTCCTGAACGGAGTATGCACAAATTTTTAATAAATATATTTTAACATTTTTTCTAAATAGATGAAAGTTATTTATGTTTTTCAAATGTTGAGGTAAATGGTTAAATAACCTTAGTCCCAAAACATTGTGAGCTTTTAAAGTCATGCCGAGGCGTTTGAAGGGGACACAAAAATTATGTTTGTTACGAGTATCATGACAGTGGACAGATACATTTGTAGTAAAACGTTCTTTATTTTTATAAATATATAACAATATTTCGAAGATATACAAACTTTTCAACGGGAGAATACCAAATTCAGTGAATAAAGGGCGGCATGACTGGTTCGGAGGTACTCCAGCTATACATCTGACAATACGTTTCTGGGCAATGAAAACGCTATCTGCCCTACATGAACTTCCCCAAATAATAATTCCATATGCTAACCTTGATTGAACTTGTGCAAAATAAAAGGAAATTAACTGAGGTATTTCTAAAACATCCTTCAAAATTCTAGTTTGATAACACTTTGAATTTAATATATTGGTAAGTTTATTACAGTGACTCCCAAATGTCAAAGTTTCATCTAAAATGATGCCTAAAAACGAAACAGTATTACTTTTCTCGATACTGATATTATTAAACTTTATATTTAGGGAGGATGATATCCGACTTTGAGGTGTATGAAACATTATATAGTTTGTTTTAGCACTATTAAAGAATAAATAATTTTTACTAAACCATCTACATAAATCGGAAATATCTGCGTTTATGTTATTTTGAAGAGATATTTCACACTTATTTGAAAAGAGGAGCGAGGTATCGTCAGCATATTGCGAAACAGATGCACCAGGAATTATTTTTGGCAATTCATTAATATAAATAATAAACAGTATAGGCCCTAGAACAGAACCTTGGGGGACACCAATATCATTACTTAATATGGAAGATATATAAGTGGTTTTTTTATTACTTTCATATTTGTGTATTTTGACCATTTGCTTTCTTCCCCTTATATATGAAGAGAACCAAGCTTGTGCCAAACCTCTCATCCCATAAGCCTGGAGCTTTGTTAGTAGCAAGTCATGGTTAACACAATCAAAAGCCCGACTAAGATCGCAAAAAATTCCAGTCGGACTATTACTTGCTTCAATAGCATCCAATATTTCTTCATAAAAAGAGATTATAGCGGTCGTAGTCGAATGACCTTCACGAAAACCATGTTGATTTTCGTTAATGATTTTATTATTTTTCAAAAAAGTAAGCAACTGCGAGAGCATTGCATATTCAAAGATTTTTGAAATTACCGGGGGTACAGAAATAGGACGATAATTTTCCATATTTTCAACATCATTCTTCTTAAAAATGGGAGATACTAATGAGGTTTTTAATATCGAAGGAAAAACACCTTCTCTAAATGATTCATTAATAATGTGGGTCAACGGTTTCACAATATACTTCACAATTTTTTTTATAAGAGAGCCGGATATATCATCGGGACCAGCTGAAGTTTTATTTTTTAATTTGTGTTTAATAATAGAGAGAACGTCTTCCTCGTTTATGTAAGTTAGGAATATACTATTTGGAATCCTCATGAGATTAAAATTAATATGATTCTGTACATTTATCTTATTGACTATCTTATTTGGGGCATCTATAAAAAAACTATTAAATTGCTCAGAGACTTCTTGAGGATCCTTAATGATTGCGTCATTTACTACTATCCTGATATTTTTTTCCATTTTTTGTTTACCAGTTAGCTCGTTAATAACTTGCCATGTCGTCCTATTAATATTATTAGAACCATGTATTTTTTGCATATAAAACTTACTTTTCGTTTTTTTAATAAGTAGTCTATGGTTTTTCTTAGCATTTTTATATGTATCAGTCAGATTGCTATCAACGATTTGCATACGATACAGATCCTTTAAATTGAGACTAGATTCTTTAATAGCTTCGTTAACCCACTGTTTTCCGGTTCCTTTAGGTACACATTTGGAAACTCGTGGACAATTTGCATTAAAATGATACATGAGAATACTATGAAAGTTGTTAAATTTCGCCTCGGTACCATGAGCCTGGTAGGTATCAATCCACGATTCATTTGACAAGGCAGTAGCAAAACTGTTCATATTTACACTACCGCATAATCTAGTATCAAAATAAATGTTGTCACTATTTACAATGGTGTTATGTTTAATTGAAAAAAGAACCGTACGATGATCAGAAATTGTATTGTCGTGTACAGATGAATTACAGTACACATTGTTAGTGTATACGTGGTCAAGAATTGTCCGACTTGTACGACTTATTCTAGTTGGCTCAAATACTCTGGAACTAAGACCACACGAATCAAGCAATTGTGCAAAACAGTCCAGTTCACTTCTTGACATAGAGTTAGTGTTAAAATCACCCATCAAAAATACGTCATCTTTAAAATTACATATATCTAAGAGAAGATAGAGTTTATCAATAAAAGTTTTAAAATTCCCATCAGGAGATCTATAACAGTTTATTGCAGTGATACATTTTGATTCAGTACACCATTTCAAACCAGAAACCTCAATGTCTTGTTCTATACAGTATTTCGAAAGATTAAGTCTTTCTATACTAAGGCAATTTTTACACCATATGGCAACTCCACCACACTTCCGTTCAGTTCTACAGAAGTAATCTATTAAAGTATAACCAGGAAATACAAAAGATGTTATACTACTTTCAGTACACCAGGTTTCGGTTAGAAAAATTAAGTTAACATTCATATAATAGGAAACCTTTATGAAAGTTCACGTAAAAATTGACGTAGAATCCAAAATTGCAATAAAATAACGAAGATGACGTCACTTCCGGTATAACCGCAAGCGTTAGGTGAACGCTATTATTGTAGTTGAGAAGGGCATGCCCGAAAACGCTATTGCCCAAATTTTCAAAATTAAAATCGAAGTAGTCTCTGAAATATGTCTAATATCTCGTCACCGTGGCCACCCTGTATGAATTATGTTCCTTATTTGAATAAGTTCAGTTCTGGGTCTTCTAACATCTTAAAATCCAAGTTTTTGAAGCGAAAATAGTAAAAAATACTGCTAATTTTGCGATTGTATACGACACAATGTCATACTACGGTACAAACTCATGACATGAAGTGGAACAATAATTTAGAAACTAGAAAATTTATAATCCGCGCCTGCCTTACAATTCTCCTAACTCGAGAGCAGTCTCATTATAATACGCCTAGATATGTTCAGTTTATTCTAGGCGCGATGTAAAAATAATGGCGTTCATTTTGCAATAAGACATAGCTATTCGGAGTTTTGTAAAACGTCTTCAATTTTCAGTCAAATTGTACACGCTTTTTCACAATTTGCCTAATAATTTATAAAACGCCTAGTTATTTTATAAAAAGATTGAATTTGCAATTAGCCTGCGACATGTACAGGGTGTATCTTTGAGTGGAGATCATATTTATACAGGGTGTATTTAAATGGAGGGGCACAAATGATACCAGATATTCCTTGAGCGAAAATAAGTCGATTTAACCTAACATACCTATATCCCAAGTCGCATAATAAAAAAGATACAGGGGGTCAAAGTGAAAAATAAAAAATGTTTTTTTCTTAATAATTCCTATAATTTTATTCAGAAATGTTTCAAATTTTCAACAGAGGGTCTTTTTAATGATGGGAAAAATAATATAATAATGATTTTTGAGTGTCGAGTACGAGGCGCCCTCTGCAGGCAACGTTATGTATTGAATATGTAGTAACTTTTTTGCCAACCCCCGTATACAGCATTCAGTAACAAAATATGAAATATTGGACTTTTCTTAACAAGAAAGGTATACTTATTGAAAATGGATAAAGCCAACCGTTGAAGAGATATTTTTAATTTCATAAATTAGTGTTACGGATTTATACCTCCACGAATTCTAAGGTTCGAGTTGCTTAAATAAATAAATAAATCGAGTAGATAAATGTCATTTGATAATACTCGTAAATTACAATTTTGAAGTATTAGTTTAAAGTGTTAATTGATTTTAGTCACTATTTACCTGCGTCCTAGATATTAAATAGTTTTGGAATTGAATAAAATAACAAATTATGTATACTAATGACGAGT